ATTAACTTGTGAGCCCAGGTCGTATTTGAATGAAACTAGAACGCCCATTCGCGATTCGGTTTTGCAGCTCGTGTCCTGGAAATCGTGAAACGGTAGTGCTCGTCCCAAATGGCTCGTGCTCTGATCGGGGGTTCGATGTCGATGCGCGAGCCGTATTGACCTGTATTCGTGCTTGTATTTATATATATATATATATATATATAGATATAGAGAGAGAGAGAGAGAAAGAGAGAGTAGATGTACACACACACGTAAACGAAATAATGCACGGGTGCTACTGTTATCACAGTTATCTGGCTGACATTCCTGAGCGCTTTGCTTCGTCAGGAAAGCCTGTAGTTGGATGATTGCTTTCTGAGGTGACGCATGGAGAAAACGATCTGTCGCAGGTTCGGAGCGGAAAAACGGATATCGCCGGCGGAGCGCAGATTCGTGATGCTGGTCTCTGGGGTCACCCAGAGCTTGATTCCAGGACTGTTTCGGCGTCAGCTGGGCCTGAGCTGGCTGAAGACAGGCTCAAAGAGCGTGCTGAGCAGGAGCAAGCTGTGTGGATCGCCCTGCTTCACCCCCAGTGCATGCCAACAGCTTCTGTTGTTGGTGTCGGCTCTGGCACTGGCTTTCTGGTCGTCCTGCACACAAATTTCGTAGGACTGAGATGCATCCATCTAGCAATCGCTGCTGCCTTCGATCCTTCCACGGCTGCAAGAGCTGCAAAAAGGGGTGGAAGATTAGCTGCTGGTTTTTGCGGAGGGGTGGGCGAAGGGCGGAGGACTGGCACAGACAGAGACGAGAGTGGGGCGGGAGCGAAAGAGGAAGTAGAGAGCATGGATATCAGCTGTCATCTTTTTGAACACGTGTCACAACAGAGGAGACAAAGCGCATGAGATGGGTGGAGGAGGAGGACTAGGAGGGAAATAAGCAGTAGAGGGAAGAGTAGGAGGAAGGGAAAAAAAGAAGGATGTCCGCCTCCTCCTCCCCCTCCTCCTACTCCTCTTACTCCTCCTTTTGCATCCTCCCACTTATCCTCCACACCCTCCTCCTTCTCCTCATCCTCATCATGAACCCCTCAATAGCCCTCCTGCCGCACTTGTTGCGCACCGTTCTCCTCAATACCCTTACCTATACGACAACCCTTCGGGTGATAAGGAGGTTGTGGGGGAGGGAAGGGGGGGGACCAACATCTGACTCAATCGATCTCACTCTCGACCTCACTCAACGGGACATCACGGGACACCAACGGACACTTGTCGATGTCACTATCGATCTCACTATCGATCTCAGTCAACGGGACACCACGGGCCACCACGGGCCACCACGGGACACCGCAGGACACCTCTCGATCTCACTATCGGTCTCACTATCGATCTCACTATCGATCTCACTCAACGGGACACCATAGGACACCACGGGACACCACGGGACACCTCGGGGCACCGCATCGATCTTACTATCGATCTTACTCAAAGGGAAACCACGGGGCACCACGGGATTCCTGTCGATCTCACTATCGATCTCACTATCGATCTCACTTTTTGGGACACCACGGGACACCACGGGACACCTCGGGGCACGACATCGATCTCACTATCGATCTCACTATCGATCTCACTATCGACCCCACTCAACGGAACACCACGGGACACCACGGGACAGCACGGGACAGCACGGGACACCTGTCAATCTCACTATCGACCTAACTATCGATCTCACTTTTTGGGAGGCCACGGCACCACGGGACACCTCGGGGCACCGCATCGATCTCAATATCGATCTCACTATCGATCTCAATATCAATCTTACTCTCGATCTCACTATCGGTCTCACTATCGATCTCACTATCGATCTCACTCAACGGGACACCATAGGACACCACGGGACACCACGGGACACCTCGGAACACCACATCGATCTTACTATCGATCTTACTCAAAGGGACACCATGAGACTCCACGGGACACCTGTCGATCTCACTATCAATCTCACTATCGATCTCACATTTTGGGACACCACGGGACACGACGGGACACCTCGGGGCACCACATCGATCTCACCATCGATCTCACTATCGATCTCACTCAACGGGACACCACGGGACACCACAGGAGACCACGGGACACCAAGGGACACTTGTCGAACTCACTATCGATCTCACTATCGACCTTACTCAACACGACACCACGGGACACCACGGGCCACCACGGGACACCACGGGACACCGCGGGACAGCTCTCGATCTCACTATCGGTCTCACTATCGATCCCACTGTCGGTCTCATTCAAAGGGACACCATAGCACACCACGGGACACCACGGAACACCTCGAGACACATCGGGACACCTGTCGATCTCACTATCGATCTCACTATCGATCTCACTATCGATCTCAAGATCGATCTCACTCAACGGGACACACCACCACGGGACAGCGCGGGACACCACTCGATCTCACGATCGGTCTCACTATCGATCTCACTCAACGGGATACCATGGGACACCACGGGACACGACGGGACACCTCGGGGCACCACATCGATCTCACCATCGATCTCACTATCGGTCTCACTATCGACCTCACTGAACAGGACACCACGGGACACCACGGGACACCACGGGACACCTGTCGATCTCACTATCGATCTCACTATCGATCTCACTTTTCGGGTCACCACGGGACACCGCGGGGCACCACATCGATCTCAATATCGATCTCACTATCGATCTCACTATCGATCTCAATATCGATCTCACTATCGATCTCACTCAACGGGACACCACGGGACACCACGGGACACCACGGGACACCGCGGGACACCACGAGCCACCGCCGGACGGACGGACGGACGGGCGGGCGGGGGAGAATCATTCGTCTTGACTTCGCCCTAGCAACGGCGGACACCACGGGACACCACGGGACACCACGGTACACCGCGGGACACCGCGAGCCACCGCCGGACGGACGGACGGACGGGCGGGCGGGGGAGAATCATTCGTCTTGACTTCGCCCTAGCAACGGCGGACACCACGGGACAACACGGGACACCACGGGACACCGCGGGGTCACCGCCGGACGGGCGGGGAGAATCAGTTGTCTTGACTTCGCCCTGGCAACGGTGGGTTCTTTCCTCTCGCGCGCCCACACAGCTTCGCCTGGCCCGCACGCACGACACGAACGAAACGAAACGATTCCCCGGTTGGGGGTCTCCGTCCCACTGCGATCTCACCCCCCAACCTCCGACCTATATAACTACCTATACGACCACCCTTCGGATGAGAAGGAGGTTGTGGGGGAGCCAACGTCTGACTCAATCGATCTCACTATAAATCTCACCCCACGGGACACCACGGGACACCACGGGACACCACGGGACACCGCGGGACACTTGTCGATCTCACTATCGACCTCACTCAACGGGACACCACGGGACACCACGGAACACCACGGGACACCACGGGACACTTGTCGAACTCACTATCGATCTCACTATCGATCTCACTCAACACGGCACCACGGGACACCACGGGCCACCACGGGACACCAAGGGACACCGCGGGACACCTCTCAATCTCACTATCGGTCTCACTATCGATCCCACTATCGGTCTCATTCAACGGGACACCATAGCACACCACGGGACACCATGGGACACCTCGGGACACCTCTCGATTTCGCTATCGATCTCACTATCGATCGCACTATCGATCTCACGATCGATCTCACTCAACGGGACACCACGGGACACCTCGGGCCACCACGGGACACCACGGGACACCGCGGGACACCTCTCGATCTCATTATCGGTCTCACTGTCGATCTCACTATCGATCTCACTTTTTGGGACACCATAGGACACCACGCGACACCACGGGACACCACGGGACACCTCGGGACACCATTCGCTCTCACTATCGATCTCACTCAACGGGGCACCACAGGCCACCACGGGACACCGCGGGGCACCACGGGACACCTGTCGATCTCACTATCGGTCTCACCGTCGATCTCACTATCGGTCTCACTCAACGGGACACCACGGGACACCACCACGGGACACGGCGGGACACCTCTCGATCTCACTATCGGTCTCACTATCGATCTCACTCAACCGGACACCATAGGACACCACGGGACACCTCGGGGCACCACATCGACCTCAGTATCGACCGCACTATCGACCTAACTATCGATCCCAAACAACGGAACACCACGGGACACCACGGGACACCACTCGATCTCACTATCGATCTCACTATCGATCTCACTTCTTGGAACACAACGGGACACAACGGGACACCTTGGGGCACCACATCGATCTCAGTATCGATCTCACGATCGATCTCACTGAACGGGACACCATAGGACACCACGCGACACCACGGGACACGGGTCGATCCCAGTATCGGTTTCACTATCGAGCTCACTTTTTGGAACACCACGGGACACCTCGGGGCAGCACATCGATCTCACTATCGATCTCACGATCGATCTCACGATCGATCTCACTCAACGGGACACCACGGGGCACCACGGGACATCACAGGATACCACGGGAGACCATGGGACACAGCGGGACACCGCGAGCCACCGCTGGACGGACGGATGGGCGGGCGGGGGAGAATCATTTGTCTTGACTTCGCCCTAGCAACGGCGGACACCACGAGACACGACGGGACACCACGGGACACCGCGGGGACACCGCGAGCCACCGCCGGACGGACGGACAAGCGGGCGGGGGAGAATCACTCATCTTGAGTTCGCCCTAGCAACGGCAGGTTCATTCCTCTCGCGCGCCCACGCAGCTTCGCCTCTCCCACACGCACAACACGAACGAAACGAAACGATTTCCCGGTTGGGGGTCTCCGTCCCACTGCGATCTCACCCCCCAACCTCCGATCCCCTGCGGGTTCAGTTTGGCCGAAGGCTCGAGCAGCGACCTGTCGCCGCACCACTTCGATCCAGAATACACGCCCGGCTCGCAGCGGACCGCGCAGACTGCCAGCGACCTTCGGGAGCACCAAAGGAAAGGGGGAAAAGAAGGAGAGGCAACTACTGCAAGAGGGCGAGTCCTCCTCCTCCCCAACCAATTCCTCCCATTCCTCCTCCAACTCTTCATACCCGTCAGTTTCCTCCTCATCCCCCATCCTCCTCCTCATCATCAGCATCAGCATCAGCATCAGCAACAGCATCAGCATCATCATCAGCATCATCAGCATCACCCGCATCATCATCACCATCACCACCATCACCATCATCATCATCATCATCATCAGCATCATCATCATCATCATCAGCATCATCATCATCATAATCAGCATCAGCATCAGCATCAGCATCAGCATCAGCATCAGCATCAGCATCAGCATCAGCATCATAATCAGCATCAGCATCAGCATCAGCATCAGCATCAGCATCAGCATCAGCATCATCATCATCATCATCATCAGCATCATCATCATCATCATCATCACAACAACAGCAACAACAGCCACAACAACAACAACGACAACGACGACGACGACGACAACAACAACAAGAACAACAACAACAACAACAACAAGGACAGGGACCTTCCCTGGGCCCCTGCGCTCGGGCTCCTCCGGCGCTCTCCACCAGGGGGGGGCAAGAATCGTCCCTGGGCCCCGGGGTTCCCAACCCCCCCCCCCCCACAACAACAACAACAACAACAACAACAACAACAACAACCAACAACCAACAACAACAACAACAACAACGCCGGGAATGAATAAAACAAAAAACAAAAAACAAAAACACAAAAAAAGAGGAGTCCCTCAGGACTCCGGTACTGCATCGGAGTGGTGATTTACGTGTGCGCGCTAGAGAAGCGAGGGATTCTATAGAAACCCTACAGGCATCTCATAGAAACCCTACAGGTATCCTATACAAACCCTACAGGAATCCGATACAAACCATCCAGGGATGCTGTAGAAGCCCTACAGGAATCCTGTACAAACCATACAGGGATGCTACAGAAACCCTACAGGGATCCGATAGAAACCGTACAGGGACCCTATAAACTTAAAACAAGAAAGAGATTCTATAGACGCCCTACGGGGATCCGATAGAAACCGTACAGGGACCCGATAGAAACCCGACAGGGATCCTATAACAAAAAAACGACAGGGATTCGATAGAAACCGTACAGGAACCTGTTTTATATATATACATGTATGTATTGCGAGTTGACCCAGGGTCCCTCTAGAGACCTTCTGAGGATGCCAGACACTCAGCCCCTTTCCGCAACCCTTTTGGTTCGATCAGGGGCTTCGGCCCCTTGGAGGCAGACACATGTTAGCCTGAGCTGATACTGAAAACAAGGCATACGAGAACTCACGCTTACGTTTCCGCCGCTCCACCGTGTTCGGTGGTAGCGGAGCGCTGCGTTGCGCTTCCTCGGACCTGAGATTCAGAGACAGCACGGTGGACAGTGACTACACGGCGGAGACATCGCGGCCCATCGCGATAACATGGGAGATGACGAGGACGGTGAAGAAGTCGTGGCTCCAGTCACACGGGAGGGCGCGAGTACTGGAAGGTACGTTCCGCCACCCATCATTAAGGAGTCGACGATCGAGGAGCTGCGGAAGTACGTGCGCAGATTACGGATCTGGTCGAAGGTGGCGACGGGGATTCCAACACATCAACGGGATCTCCACGCCTACTACAGCATCCTGGAGGGCGGCGATGATCAGATCCAGAGCATCGTGGAAGGTCTTGACCAGAGCGAGCTTGAGGGCGAGAACGGAGTGGAGAACATCGTGAAGGCGCTTGAACAGGAGATCATGCCGAAGAACGTGTACGAAAAGTACCTGGAGTTCGAGCACACCTTCTACGGGTCAGAGCGTAAGAAAGGAGAGAGCCTGCAGCAGCACTCGATGAAGATCAAGAAAGCGTTCGACAGGCTGAGGAAGCTGCAGGTGACGCTGGACGACGTGCAGGGCTACATCCTCGTCCGGCAGGCGAAGCTGGACCACACGGAGCGCATGGCGGTGATCCTGCAGACCTCGGGGTCACTGGCGTACGATGACGTGAGGACGGCGCTCAAGGGGCTTCGAGACGACAGCTCGCTGGAGAAGACCACGAGGGGTCACCAGGGGGGCACCTCGGGGCAGCAGCGGAGTGGCAAGGCGTTCCACGTGGACGGGGACGACGAGCTGTACGAGGACGAGGACCCGATCGCACAAGCGCTGATGGCGCTGGAGGACTCCGACCAGGAGGAGATCAACGAGGAGGACACCCTAGACGAGGACGAGGCGTACGCGGTGCTGGCGGCGTGGCAAGCCGGACCCGGAGGCCGCGGCAGCTGGCAGGAGACGAGGAGGATCGTCCGCGACCGCAAGACGTCGAGGGGCTACCGTGACGTGAGTGAACCGAAGGGGAAGTCCGGCGGCCGCGGCAAGGGCAGCATGGAGTACCAGAGGGAGGCTCGTAAGAAGATCGAGGAGCTGAAGAAGAGGACCCGCTGCCACCGCTGCAACAAGGTGGGCCACTGGACGCGGGAGTGCAGGAATCCACCAGTGCGCAAGGCCCCCGCGGAGGGAGTCAGCATGGCCCACGCCGAGGAGGATCGCGACCACGAGGAGTTCGAGGAGGCATACGTATTCGACTTCCCAGAGGAGCCGACGGTGGACTCGCAGCCGCCGCCGCCCGAGACCGACGACCCGGCGAAGATCAAGAACCGTGAGCGCAGGCTGCGCGCAAAGGCGCGCAAGCAGACGGCCCAGGCCGAACAGGCCTCCAGCGCCGACGGCACCTCATCCCCCTCGGGAGTCGAGATGGGCCCGTCCAGGTTTCGGGAGTGTCTCGAGGAAGCGAAGAGGAGGTTGTGCAAGTTTTCAGCAGCCCAGCTACTGGGCGTCTTGGAGGGCATGGTGGATACGGGGTGTTCTAGGCTAATCGTTGGGGATCACACAATTGCGTTACACGACTACGCTCTCAGAAGACTTTTTGGGTTGAGTATCAGATACGTTCCTAGTATCGGCAGGAGCTTCCACTTCGCGAATGGCCAGGCCGCTCAGTCAAATTGGGTTTCCGAGTATCCTGTGGGCCTTGGGGGTAGAAGTGGAGTGCTCAAATTTTGTGTAGTGCCAGGCTGGACCCCGCTGTTGATCTCAGAGGGCTTGCTCGAGGACCTTTCCGGGATTGTGGACACCTCCAGGGGATTGCTCACCTTGAAGACCCTGGGTGTTACCGTGGCCCTTCGGAGATCCCGAGATAACCCCAAGACGAAGCAGTGGCGCCTCCCTCTGTGCGACTTCGGCGAGCAAGGTTTCACGAGGCCGATGAGAGCGGAGACGAAACACCAGAAGTGGTGTGTCTGACTGATGCGACGATTGCGCAGGAAAACAAAGAGCTGGTGGCCGCTCTCGTTCCTGCTTCCCGATCTGAAGAACCAGACCGATGCGAGGGTACGAGGTTGAGGACATCGACGAAGGCGATTTCGAGCCCGAGTGCGACCAGTCCGAGTACTTCGATGACTACTCGAACGACGATGGCGGGGTCGAGCGGATCACGGATCACGACTTCGGGAACTTCAGGAACCAGGGGGGCCCCGTCTGGGACCAGGTCAGGGACCTCGGAGGCACTTGGAGGCTCGAAGAAGGCTGTCGAGGTTCGAAAACCCAAGCTAAACAACGAGAACCCGGACAATGCCCAGCCACTCAGGCCCAAAGGTGTACGCTTTCAGCGCGCTCAGCAAGCTTTCCATATCTCACCGGCGAATGCCGAAGGCCCGCTCCAACCAGATCGCAGACAGATGGGGGTTTCTCGCCCATTATGTGTTGCTGCTGCGTTGGTGCGCTGGGCAGGCGCAGGCGCTGCGCTGCAAGTTTCAGAGGCCGCACTGCTACCAAGACGTTCAGGTCTCCGTGAGTCTGGACTCGGCGGCAGCGAGCCGCTCGGGAGGAAGACCGACGCGGCGTCTCCAGTGGATCGCGAGTGCGATGCCGACGCTGAAGGCAGAGCTCGTGAACCTGTGCGACCTGTGGAACGCCCCGCTGCCGGAGCTCCCGCAGAACATGAGGGTGATCGATCTGCAGGAAGCCTTGTGGACCCACGATGCCAAGCTAACGAGAGCTACGATCGACTCGAAAACACTGGCGCGGAGCTGGGGCAGCAGAAAGATAACCTTCGGCGAGAGGCATCGCGACAAGACGTTCGAGGCGGTATTCGCCCAGCACCCGGACTACTGCGACTGGATCAGGGGGTCAGCGAAGAACCTCAACGATACGATGAGATAGTTCATACTGTACATCGAGATGCGGGAGGAGGCGGCGAGCAGTCCACAGGAGCCGAGCTCGAGCAGCCGACCACCAAGGACCAGGGCCAGGACGAGCACGACGTCACCCAGGGCGGACGAGAGGATGGCCGACGGGGCGCGGAAGAGGCTACCCTCGGACGGCTCGTGGGAGGACGGAGCGGCCTGAAGCTGTACGAGAAGCAGGACAGGGCCGCCCGCACCAGGACGGTGAGAGGTCAAGGTGGAGAAACCGCCTGGAGGCAAGTAAGGTGGCGCGCCACGAAGGACCGAGGTACCGGCGAGGTACTCGACGACACTGCCATCTTGCACGGGGAAGAGACCAGCGATCTGAAGTGGATCTACGAGTTCCCGGACGGCAAGGGCATCCGGGACATAGTGACGGAGTTCTGGTTCGAGCCGTCGGAGCCGAGGACCAGGGACATCAAGAACGGGGAGTGGAAGCGCATCATGGGGGATGTGGCGCACCACATCCCGGAGCAGATCCTGTTCATGAGCGACGGCAAGGTGGTGAGCAACTTCGAGGAGTGCAACGCCGCCGACGACCTGGCCGAGATCTTCTCACCGCCAAGAGTACTGGACTGCGAGAATCAGGGCAGCATCACCGGGGATTTGGCTCTGGACCTGAAGACGGGCTGGGACTGCCGGAAGAAGGAGGACCGCATGTGGGCGATGGCAGAGATCAAGAGGCGGAAGTCTAAGGTGGTGGGACTCACCCCACCATGCCGA